CCGCAGACGCCCACGACACCGGGAACGCCGCTCTTTGCTTCCAGTGTGATTCGCTTCTCCAAAGATGACCATTGCACAAACATTTACGTGATTGCCTTTGCCTCAAGGTAAGTTGTGAGATGCCTTCAATATTTGTTCCAACTCTAATAAACCCTTTAACAGCGAAGACGAGGACAAGTTTGCAAATGAGTTCAAACGACTAAAGGCAGAACACGGTGATCGCTTTCAGCAACCCCCACCGCCCACTCTTCGCCGACTTCGCTCGAGCACCAGCCCCGGAGGACGTTCATCATCCCAAAACGGCGCCTCGAACCGCCTGAGCACCATCTCTGCAAACTCTCTTTACTACAGCGACGGTGACTCTCGCTCAACAAACAGCTCTGATATTGACTACTTAGCCACAGCCTGAGCAGCTTTCACAACTCGAGTGGAATTGTTAACAAAAGTGAACTACTCGTTTTTATCTGTGCATTGTGACTTTTAATACACCAACTCTTCAAACAAACACACATTTACTATTCCATAACACAGTCGTCATAATAGGTGCCCAAAGTATAATAACAAGCTTGTTACCAGTTTCATGGCAGTGCTGCAAGCGACTTCAAGTGCGATGATGATCAGCATCATCACCGGTACAGTGCTCTTTTCTCTCGTTTGTCGGCCACCCAAATCGCGCCCCGTCATTGTTTCTTCCTCCTCCTCCTCTGGGCCAAACAGTGCAGCCAAACACCGTGCCGAGATGAGAATGTTGTCAGTTGCATTGTTCTTTTTTTCTAGCATGCACACATCTTTCACTTTCTCACCATCAGTTTCATCGACTAATCGGGCGCATCTGTCTGCACGTCTTCAGCGCATTCACGTTGAATCGTGCAGCGGTAGGAGCGGTAACTGACTGTCTGTCAGCTTAATATCTTTGTCAGTGAAAACAACAGAGTACAAAGTCTATCTCTCTCCCTCACTCTCTGCTTGAACATAAACACAGCCATAGACGGAACACAATGATGATAAGCTGTATTCAGTGAAAGAGAAAGACAGCCAGTCAGCTTCAGACAGGCACAAGTGAATCCATTCGCAAGTGTGCATCATCCTCCAGCAGAGGCAGGCATAACGCAGTACATAGCAGCAATAGCAGCCGTCACAACTCAAGGCTATCAACTTTTGCTGGCCATGACAGTGGCGACGTACATCACCGCTGCCGATGATGCTTCTGCTCGAAGACTGACTGCTCCACTGCAAGCAAGCTGCAATTCACCGACATGAGCTCAGCTCAGTCATCGTCAACAGCATCACCATCACCATCACCATCATCCGAACAACCAAATTTGCCGCCTTAGCGCAGGACATCAATCGGACATAGCTCACCTCAACCAGTGCCTGGCGCCGATGCTCACTGCCCGTGCTAATGCTAGTGTTTGTCCCTCTTTTTCCCTTTCTGATCACCTGCCTGCCTGCCAGTGTGACTGCTGCCGTCTAAACGGGCTTTCATTATAATCCGTGGAGACGATCAATGACTTTTATCAGCCGAGAAAATGCCGTAACCAGGTGATTGCCGCTGAGAGGCCCTCTTTTTTCCCTCTCCTTGTCGTACCTGCCGTGTTTGCCAACAAGCTCAGTGCCACAGCGACAAAAGTTTGCCTGCGTGTGTGTGTGTATGTCTGCTTGTCTTGGAGCTGAGCTGTCTGGTGACATCAACAAATCGCCAGATCATTTCGAGTGGTTGTCCCATTTCCGATCCAAAGTCTCCATCTTCCTCCACTACCATGCTCGAATACATTGTCATCAGTGTGATCATTGCCTTTCTGATCAGCACCTGGCTTCGGCAGTACGTCCTTCAAGATGCGGGGGCGGATGTGGTAGACCGGGCAAACACTGACGCCTTCACCGCCAGCGATCACCTCATCTCCAAGCGAGGCTCCTCCAGGCGAAAGGCCTTCTACAAGCGGAACAGTCCGCTAAACGACTACCTCGAGAAGAATCTGTCCAAGACAGGCGACAACGTGTCCTTCCAAAGTGGCTTTCCCTGGCGCACCTACGTCGCCAAGTCCCGTCACGAGAGTAAACTGACGGATCTCGACCAATCGGAACTCAAACTATACGAGTCCATTTTTGAGCTTATTCTCACGGAGAAATCTTACCTGATGGTTAGTAGTTTACAAGTGGAGCTCGCCTTTTTAACAGTTCTTTTTTCCAACTGTAGCAACTGGAACAGCTGACCGGTTTTGAAGAGGCTCATCCTGATCTGGAAAAGATTAGCAAGTACGACCGCAATCTGCTGCTAGGCAACATTCGTCACCTGTACGCTGTCAACAATTCACTGTACAACGACTTTGAAACAGCTTTCGCCGCTGATGTCTACATGAGCGCTGTCTTTGGTGTTCTTTCGCGCTACCTGACGAATGGTTCCCTTGAACCGTACATTGACTACATCAAAGGCCACGAAGAGCGGAACCGACTGATCAACGATGAGGAAAAGTGCAAAAAAGTGCCAGAGCTGAACAGGCTACGGTCACTGATCATCATCCCAATGCAGGTGCTAATGCTGTCACCCTGTTTCCACCGATACTCATTTTGGTGCATGTTTTTTTCAGCGGATCACTCGGTACCCCTTGCTAGTGCAAAACATTCGCGGCGTTCTGGAGCGCATCCTCAGCAAGTGTCCTGATTCGCCTGTCGGCAGGACACTGGACCGGTCGGCCATTGAGCGCTGCTTCGAGGACGCTTCTCGTTTTGCCGGCAAGTGCAACAAAGCTCTCGCCGACGAGAGGAAGCTCTTTGATCTGATTACTCTCAAGAAGCAGCTCATTGGAGGAGAGACCATTGAACTGGTGGCTATAAATAGGGAAATTTTCCAGCGGGTGCCCGTCAAGCTGTATTTTGTGAAGCAGGGCGCCACTAGTCCTGGCGCTACACCGGTCTCCATGCCATCTTACCACCAGGGCGGAAACAGTCTCTTCCGCGGAACATTCAACTCGATGAGCAAGGTCAAGGCGACGCTCATTCTGCTCACTGATCTGGTCATTGTGGCAGAACACAAGCAGAAAAAGTATGCTTTAATGTCCTACCCTAATGATTACACTTTTTTATAGCTAACCACCTAATTTTGCAGAGATCAGTACATTGTCATTGACTACGAAAAGCTTTCGAATGTGACGTTTGACCGTCGCCGCGACTCGATCATCTCAACTGAAGGCGGTTCTGGTGGCTCGAGCGAGTCCATCAATGAAAAGAACGAGGAAGGAGTCGGCAACGGCAAGGCGCGCTGCCTGATGACCTTCAAGTCAACTGAAAACAGCTACGGTGTCACCTTTCTCTTGATGGAAGAGGAAGAGAAGTTTATCAGAAAGCTGCACCAGTTGAAGGAGGACTTGAGCGGGAGCAGCAGTCGGTCGCCTGGAACAAGGTCGCTCAATGGATTCTAAAGTTGCCAATGCACAAATCTTTATCAAACATGTGATTTTAATTCTCGTCACACACACACCCCACCTTTTGCTTCATTCTCTTTTTTTGTTTTTTCCTGTACATCTGTTCATTTGTACAAAACTGTACTGTACATCTATCAAACTGATTGCCAAATAAATCGCTGCTCTACACTAGGCCGTATCTGAGCATTTAATGCGGTGCAGAGTAATGAAAGCTCATTAGTGAGAATAGAAAGATTAGATTATGCCATAAAGCTCTCGCCTAGTGACAGCATGCACACTGCAAGGACGCCTGTACTGGGTGCTACGTAAGATGATTCATACAAGTCAAGTGCAACAAAGCTCACCAAACGTGGTGAGCTAAAATATTTGATGCAGCAAACTAATTACACAAAACTGTGCATATGCAAAATACATGTTGAACTGTGTTCTACTCTAGATGATGGATGGAAGTAGGACTGTAGAAGGGGTAGGAAAAAAAAGCAGCAACAGCTGTTTGGTTGGCTAAAGCACTCTTGTGCACTTACTGGAAAGTTTTTTAATGGTAGTATACAATCGGTCTAAAACAAGCATTATTGTCTTTACTTTTTATTTTTGCTTCCATTTTGTTTTGTAAAACAGGTGAGCTAGTGTGATGAGCTTTACCTTGCTAAACAAACTTGAAAGTTTTGATAAAAACCAATTGATTATGGTTGCTTTTTTTTCCAGAACTAAGCAAATGGGACTTGCCATTTTAGCGATAACGGTCCTATTTTGACGCGCAAAAGTATTCTGCCTGGGTCGGTAAATTTAAACTTTGACCACCCCATCGGGAACTTGCACAAAAACTGCTTAATAGTTTTGAAAGAAATATTTGATATTGAAATGTGCGTAACTGGTCCAAAACTGGTTCTTAGTCTGTTAAATGTACAGAAATTGCATAGCTATCTAGTGACACCTTTAGTACCACCACACCTTGTCTGAACTGGAAGAGTTGTCGCTGCCCTCAATACAAGAAAACTTGGCAAATAAACAAAAAATATCCTCTATGACTTTGAACTTCTACAGAAGACTGCTGTCCATTGTGGTAAACACGACCATACTTCACATGCACGACTATGCTTCCCTCGACCCATTAGGTTTTTTCCCTCTCCGCAGTCTCAAGTGGAATCACTGATGAGGTAAATTGGCCATCGATAGCGGTCGGTGTGGGCACACACCAGTCAACGAGCGCACAGCTGTAAAGGCCAGTAGATTGGCCACTATACGTTGATAAAACAAAAACAGAGCATAGACTGTTTCTTTGGCTAGAGACAGTGAGATTCAGGATGAAGATGAGAGTGACGCTCAAGTTAATCAATGATTAGTACCAAATGAGAGTGGAAAGTCTACTTGCGGCAGAGCACTCTTAGCCTTGGCGGAACTGGATGGAGCACCTGATCGCAAACTAATGATCAGTATCCACCAAGTGGGTGATTAGATTGACTGAGCTTTTCAGTGTCATCAACTACGCTTAAAAAAGTCAAATTATTTTTATATAAAGGTCCAGTGGTGATCTCCACTGGGCACTTTTTGTGAATCCTCCGCTGCCTCCTTCCAAAAATGAAGTCTGCTGTTCTTGTTCTTGTCGCTTGCCTTGCTGGCATTGGTTAGTTTAATCTTTGAGTTTAAAGTCATTTATATCATAAATAACTTGCTTGTATTCCTTGCAGCTGTTGCCGACAATGGTAACGCCAACCAGTTTGTTGACCAGATTGTCACTGCTCTGAAAACGCAAAAGGTAACAGCTTGATTAGAAAGTTGAATATCAAAAATTAAACTTGTTGTTCTTTGCCTTTTTCAACAGAACTTTGACCCCTTGGTTATCCCGCCCCATCACATGAACATTGACCGCAAAATTGGCNTGATTAGAAAGTTGAATATCAAAAATTAAACTTGTTGTTCTTTGCCTTTTTCAACAGAACTTTGACCCCTTGGTTATCCCGCCCCATCACATGAACATTGACCGCAAAATTGGCGCCATTCACCTGAAGGGCACTGCTGACCTAAAGGAGACCAAGATCACTGGCCTTAGCCATGTGCGCCGAGTGGGTGATGCCGTCCTCAAGAACGAAAACGGAAGTTTCACTGCCAAGCTTCACCTTGGAGACGACAACGTCAAGCTTTTCTCTGATATCAGCCTTCATTTCCTTCACAATATTATCCACCCGAACCTCAAGGTAGTCCAATTTTCACGCTCACCTTAAAAGCGCGTAGAACAATTTTTTTTTAACTTTTTGTTTTTTTTCTGTAGGTGGAGATTGACATTGGCAACATCGGTGAGTAACAAAATAAACACAAAGGTGGCTTAAAATTGCAGCTATCTAATCAATCAACTTTTTTAGGTGTTGGCTTTGGCGTAACCATTGGTGCCGACGGAAAGCCCGCTCTCAAGGACTTTGACATTGAAGAGTTCAAACACGTCAAAATCCACGTGCACGGTCTTGGCCCCCTGGACCACCTTGTCGACCTTATCGGAGAGGCTTACATTTCCCTGGCCAACACTCAGGCTCGACACATGATCACCGGCATTGTCCGACCGATCCTTGATCAGGAGCTGAAGAACTTTAAAATGGGAGGATTCTAGTGTAGCGGATTTAAGAGATTCAACACTACTGTATGATCTGTCAAAAGCATCAGCTTTTTCATCAACAAATGTAACATTTTAATGGTGAACAAGCTAAATAAAAACGATGCATCCCTAATGTATTTTTCTGAAAAAAATGAATGAAAAATAATGTTCTCGAAATAGGGTTGCTCTGCATAAATTTTTACAAAAAAAGTTTCAGCAAAAAAATAATTTTTAAGTTTGAGTTTTAAGAACTGAAGTTTTAAGATTTTAGTTTAATTTAGTATAAAAAAGAGTGTATCTTTTTCCTTATCATTGTAACGCTTGAATCTTTTTTGAAAAAATGCATTGAAAGAAAACTCTGCGATTGTGCTGCCTCCATTTTTGGGTAAGTTATCATGATGCGGTTGTTTTCAGAACTTTTTTTTTACTAAAAATGAGGCAATTTTTTAGCAACCCTCTTTCAACCAATAGGCTGCTGACGTTGAATACGTTTTGGGCAAATCTCAAAACTATTTTCTTCAAAACATTCTTCGAGTTCACCATTATGGGAGGAAGCAAGAAGAACTCTCGAGTGACACGTCCTTCGCAGACGTCCGTCGGCAGCATCGGCATGGGCACTGGAGCAGTGTTGCCCGCCACACCAGCTCCCCCGCCGCTTTTCGATGAAACTCGTTCTAACCTGGTTGCCGAGGGGAAGAGCTCTTTTGACCGAAGCCTCTACAACATTGTCCAGTACGTCTTTTGCTGTTCCAAGCACAACAAAGTGGCAATCACGCCGACGGCAAACACTGGCGGCATCATTTGGATTCCCTTTGCCGTCCTCCCTCCCGACCAGACCTGGGAAGAGGCCAGTGAACACGGACTTGGGTACTTTTTCGGCAAACACACTGCCGTAGACACTGTTGAGGGTCGACGGGTGGAAGGCAACGGGGTGATGCCCAAGTATGAGATGAACATTATCGAACTGCTTCGAGTGCAGTTGCCTTCAGAACGCGTTGAGGTTCGCATGACGATCGTAGTAAAACTCCTTCAAACGGAAGGCTTAAAGTGCTGCCAAAACACAAGTAACCTTCAGTGGGAAGACTACGCTGTCATTCTCGAGTCTGCAAGCACCAGCAGCACCCTGGGCAAGTTTTGGAGCGGCGAGCTGAAAAACTATGGGCGCCAGCTAAAGCTCGGCGAGACTCGGTACATTTACGAGTTCAGCATCGCCGATGCAATGTCCTACTTTAACCGACCCGATCGCAAAAACTCCGTCTACGGAGCTCTACTAAAGGCGACGGCCATCAACCACGAGAAGGTGATGGCGCTGTACGAGAGCTTTCTCTCCCACTGCTCGCCTGCCTTCTCAATGTCGGCAGAGTCTTTCGGTCGGTACCTCGCCAAGTTTGGCGTTGATCGTCATAGTGCCTCCTTCAAAGACCTCTTCCGAGGCGCCTGCTTCAACCAGAGCAAGGATGAAAGCATGAAGTGGTTCGAGTTTCTCTTTGCTATCATCTGCATTGATCCAAAGACTAAATCGCATGAAGCTCGCCACCGACTTATCTTTCGAATGGCAGACAAGACTTCTGCTGGCACTTTGACAAAGGCAGCGTTTACCAAGATGGCTGCTGACGCTGGACTCACCAAGGCTCGCCTCAATGAGCTGCACGCTTTTGACCGTTTTACCGGCGACATCATCACTGTGGACAACTTTTGTCGATGGATGCGCGAGACCAACTTACCCGAGTTGGACAGTTTCTGCCGAGCGCCCAAAAGTATCCTCGCCTCGGTGGTGCAATTATCCAAAGAAGTTGCCAACACCAACACCACCACCACCACCGCTGCACAAGGAAAGGTAAACAAGGGCACTGCTGCTCGCGTGGGCCGTGGAACCTGTGAACAGTGTCGGGCCCAGGACTTTAAGTACTGCCTTCACTGTGTGCTCATCGACGAGGCAGGCCACTGTTCGCAGGCATTTAGAGCTCCAAACAAGGCTTTCGGTAAGGTTTGGGTTCTTTTTTGCCATTTCTTTTTACAGAATCATTCCCCTTCAGTGAAAATCAAAACAACCGAAGTGGACAGTGAGCGCTACTCTGCCGAGTACCGCTTTGCCGACAACTCTGTAGTGGTCTTCTTCTTCAAACTCATCACTAGCTGGCGAGGCCTTCCGCCCGACAATATGGAAGCCCTCTTTGAGAACATGACATCTCTCTTTGAGTTGACCAAAGCAGTCTTTGCCTCTGAAAGTCGACTTTTAAAGAGTCACAGTCCTGCGGTGATAGTGGGCGATCTCCAGGGCAGCATCAACACTGCGCTGACCGTGCAGCAGATGCTCGCTCCCATGGCGCCAGTGATCACTACCAATCTCATCTTTTTGGGCAATTACATTGAGAAGGAATCAACAGGCAACATTTCCGTCCTCTGCCTACTCTTTTCCCTCAAACTTCAGGACCCGGACAAAGTGCTGTTGCTGCGTGGCTTTAACGAAAACGGCCCCACGGCCACCGCCATTCTCCAGAGCCAATGTGAGGGACTGTTTGGCCGTGAGCGAGGTCTAAAGATGATGGAACTGCTGCTGCAGACGTTTGAGAGAATGCCTTTTGCGGTAGTGATTGAGGACCTGATTTTCGTGGCTCATTCTGGCTTTCCAGTAACCAATCCAGTGCTGAGGATGCTGCTCGACATTCCGCCTACTCTTCGACGCATTGAGGACAATACCACTGCCTTTGAGGTAGGATTCGTTCTTGTAAATGTTCTTTTAATCTTGACTTTTCCCAATATATCCAGTTGATCAGCAAAGTGCCAGTTCCCAAACAGTCCGCTGCTCAGCCACCGCCGGTCAATCAGTTTACCGGCGAAAACCTGGCCACTTTTCTCCAAGTCAACTCGCTAAGCACACTCATTCGAAGTGCTGGTGGTGGTAGTGGTGGTCGACAACAGCTTCAAACTGGTACAGATGCAGAGGTTCACTTTGATGGCAGCTGTCTGTCTGTCGTTTATAATGCTTCAGTGCCCACCGTTTGCTACATCGATCCAGGGAAAAGGCTGGAGTGTCTTGAAGTTGAAGACGTGTCACCAAGCATTCAGTTTGTTCGCCTAATTGCTCACTTTTAATCATCACTTTTGTTCGAAAAACTGTCAAAAACTGTCATTTATAGAGTCACGCAACACGTGTTGAGTCATTTCTGGTTTGCAATCATTTACCTTTTTCTCGAGTAAACAACATGATGAAGACATTGTTTTTTCTCTGCGCGACATTCCTGTTTACAAGTGACAATGTGCTTGCTTTTGACGATTCAGATGGGGCAAGTAGACTGAGATTAGTTTGAACTGACAAGATTAGTGACACCTTTTTCAATCATCAGGATGTGTGTGACCGAATGGTTGCCAACAAAACTCTGGACCTTTTTTTCCTTGGCTTCAACAACAACAACATTCTATTGGTGACCTCAAAAAAGACGGGCTATCTCGTCTACGAGGAGCCCCATTCCAGCTGGGATCCAGCGACCCACAAGTGGAACTTGAAAGGAAAACCAGTGCCCATGAAGGAAAAGTGGCCGGTAATGTTCAACAGCGAGCTGTTCAAGATACTCGAAGCCAAGGACCCGGTGAGCCCAGCTGGCAAAGTGTTTCCCTTTACTGCAGTCAATGACGAGGCGAAAAACTTTTTGGTACTGTACAACAAGGACGACCCTGCCATGTACGACTTTGCAGACTCCAAGATGATCAAGATCAAAAGCACTGAAAATCGGTGGACTAGCGAGATGGAGGGCTTCATCTCTACGACTGATCAGAAAAACAGCTATGAGATTTCTCTCGGCTACAATGGCACCACCGACAAAATGATGCTGAACCGCAGTTTTGCCTTCATCTCCTCGGGGGACGAGGTTCAGGACGTTTTTCAAGGTGATCAGAACACCTTTCACATTTGCATGCCAAGCAGCACCTCCTTGCAGTACGAAAAGGACGTCAACTGCGAAAACTCTGTGGCCTGGGCGCCGATGAAGGCGCTCAAGGTTACTTTTTCGGACAGCCTAAAGTATTTCTACCTCTTTGGTCCGACGGTGATCATCTACTACCAGGAGGACTACAGCCATGCGGTGCCCTATCAGACCAAGTCGCCAAAGGACTTTTTCATCTGCCCGCCCAAGTACTACACTACCACAAAGAATCCAAATGACCCAGACAACCCTTCCCACCACAATGGCACTTCAGGTTTACTTTATTTCATGATGGACTACTGATACAATCTTTTTCTTTGCAGGCACCAAAGTGGGTCTACTCATCTTTGGCATTCTACTTATCATTCTCCTCATTATTCTTTGCTGTTTTTTGATTTACTGCTTCTGCTTTGCAGACAAAAAGGATGAAAAGAAGAAAAAGGAAAAAGAAAAGAAAAAGAAAGACAAAACGCCTAAAAAGAAGACAAAAACGCCAAAGAAAAAAACAACCAAAACGGCACGTGCCGACAAGACGCAGTCCGGCAAAAAGAGCGGCACTTCTAGCTCTGGCTCTCCTTCGGACGGTCAGGCTAAGTCTGGCAAAGTCAAGAAGAGTGCTTTCGCCGGCAAAGTAGGCCTGCTGGCCAAAAAGACTGGCATGCTGGGCAAGGAGAGCCAGGCGACGGTCTTTGACCCAAGCAATGTCACCTTGCGAAGTGCCATGGTCGCAAAAAGCAAGAAGAAGCTGCTGAAGAGCAAGGGCAAGATGGGCAGCGCCGTCTCCGGTGTGGATGTGAGCCGGGTGACATTGCGCAGCAAAGCCAGCGCCCAGAAGAAGGTCAAGTNTTCTTCAAACTCATCACTAGCTGGCGAGGCCTTCCGCCCGACAATATGGAGGCCCTCTTTGAGAACATGACATCTCTCTTTGAGTTGACCAAAGCAGTCTTTGTTTCTGAAAGTCGACTTTTAAAGAGCCACAGTCCTGCGGTGATAGTGGGCGATCTCCAGGGCAGCATCAACACTGCGCTGACCGTGCAGCAGCTGCTCGCTCCCATGGCGCCAGTGATCACTACCAATCTCATCTTCTTAGGC